AGAATTGTGAAATAGCAAGTTTTTCCTGAAGATGAGACACACAAGAGCAAGACGACGTATAACAGAAAGCATAAGCAGCAGGCTGACGCAATTTTTTATCACGATGGTGGCATATGCAGCAAAAGCTAAGATTTATGAGGCTGGAAAAAGCTTTATGAAATTAAAAAATGTGTAAAAATGGAAACAATCAAAGCAAACAATTTTATTCCAACTCAGTGGAGAAGTTTTTCAGTAGACCCAAAAGAAATCCAATAGTTGCATTTATGAGAGCTTTAATAAAGACTCCCAGTAACACAGGAAATGAATTAAGCTGATAGCTCAAAGAAATTATATGAGTACTAAATGCTTCACAGCAAGTACTGAAGACCAGGAATGTTTGTTGTGTACAAACAATATTTTATACTGTTTTCTGCCTAGGGCAAAGGTGACTTCAGCAACACGCACCTTGTGACTACACTAAAAACCCTCACTGTATGTAAACAGCATATGACTGAATTACATAAGGAGCCAAATGGATAATGCAGACTAGACACCAATTCACTTCGATATGTCACCTAATTGCAGTACTGAAGAATCAGGTTCAAAATCCCTCTTGATAAAAACAGAGTGAAAAAAATTATTACAGTTAAGCTGGCAGTACTGGTAGATATTATGAAATTGCCACTGCATATCATCTCCAATAGGAGAGTGATGCCAAAGGAACCACTGTTTACTGGAATGACTCTTACATGTCATACGTCAGCAGGCTTAATGAAGGACTGGCTGAACACTCTTTGGAACAGGAGACAGAGCTTGCTGTTCAGAAAAACAAACACCCGTCCTAGAGGCATTCCAACAGCATCTGACACCACCACCAAGGAAAACACACACACACACACACACACAAATAATTGCTAATCTGTGGAAATTATACCACAAATAATGTCACAGCTGCAGGTATCTGATGTACTAAGGAACACATCTTTTAAGGTTGTTTGGAATTCTTTACTCAAAACCACCCTTGGCAGAAGGTTTCCATGGGAAGTAAGGAAGCTCCAGCTCGGGATTACTTGGCCACTGAACAGGCAGCACAGGTTGGGACAAATTCAGACGTCACAACAAAAGGGCTTAACAAGTTCTTTAGATAAATTAAATACTTCAATACTTTTATATTCCCTTCTTTAAGTGTGAATTATTAAGATTGCAGGAAATTTGCAGTAACTGAGAAAGAGCAATCTTTCAGAAGCTGTCATCAATACCCTATTTAAATATACTAATTAGGAAATAATGACCCTGGATGTGAGTTACAGTAAGCTGCAGTGGAAAGAGACCTTAGGCAAAAAAAAATAAAGTAGGCTGTTAAAAAAAACCTTTCTGTTGTAAACAACTCTTTTTCCTCTTCCCTCTATTACAGCACTGTGGTTTCTGCAACTGTTGGAATATCAACTTTTCAGATGGTATGCTAAAAATTAAAATGCCTTCCACAGATACTCACAGTTGTGCATTTTCATTTTATATTCAAACATTTCACACATTTTCATTATATGTATTATTCTGTGAACTGCTGTGCCAAAGCAAAAAGATTGTTATATTGCATATGACTTGCTAAATACATGTCTAGCATATAGCTTTGTTGGAAGCTAAAATTATGTTCATGCAAAATACTGATTAAAGGAAAAAAAATAAACAAATACCCAGAGTTTTGGTGGAGAGGTGTCCTTTCAGGAGACTATTGGCTTCCCAGGATTGCTAGCCCTGTTTTCTGAGACTAAATTGCATGATATGCACTGGAATGGCAGACATGTTGGAGTTCAATAGTGACTATTTGATATGATATTATCTATATGATACGATAAGCTCACATAGAGCCAAAATTACATCACTTAAGTATGTTGAAAATATATGTAGATATATTTATAGCATTATATAGTAACTATAATGTTATTATCACCAGAACTGTTTTGCCTCTCCAAAGTTGAATGCCAGTCAAAAGATACACAGATCTTTTATTCTAAAATCAAAATCCTGTTAATTGCAGTAAATCACTTGTAGAGTATCTTGAAAAATTAAGTATTAAGACATAGAAAAAAATGCATGCTATTTATCAATAAGATAAAAATCTATTGAAGACATGAAATTCAAATGCAAGTATTTAGTCTTTTTTTTAAACAAAATAGGAATTAATTTGCAATTCAGACTAAGTATTCACTCAAGATGGGAACAGCAATGTTTTAGAAAATGGAAAAGGTGACAACATTGTGGGATAGCTGGGTAGATACAAGTATCTATGAGCTTGCTAAAAAAACCCAACAAGTTTATTACTGCCAGACAGCAGGTAATTTATTTTTTCACACAATAGAAGGAATTTTTTAATTATTTTTTTTAACCTAGAGATTAGGGTGAACCTAGAGATGCTAGGTTAACCCTAGGGAATTCCTAGGGAAGAGAATGGACTACACAAAAAAATACAGAAAGCCAAAGGAGCAGTAGCTTTTTCATTGAGCTGATGAGCTTCTGACTGAAATACTTTACTACCTTCAACAGAGGAGGGGCAAAAGCTTCCACAGACTTCTGCCATTAAATTTATTATATTTTTTTCCTCCCATGTATAGGATTGAATCAAAGATATTTCAGTATGTTTTCAAAGTGGCAACTTGAGAAAAATCATCCTAGAGGCTCTAAAGGAGTCAGAGGTAACATGAATGCACAAAGCAAGTTAGCAGGGAGCATCATATGTGCGGCTGGCATTTGCTAAATACCACAAAAAGGTAGGAATCTAGCTCAGCCAGTTCAATTAGCCAAAAATCTGGAGAACATGGTTACGTCCATAAATAATAATAATTAAAAAAAAGCCTCTCAAGAACTGACTGCTATTTTCTCTGTGGAAAGGTTGCCAGATTCAGGAGACTCGGTCTCCTCTGTCTGTGTCTAGTCAGTCCCGGGCCACATGAGCCCAAGGTGCAGAGTCTGCCGGGCAACCCCTGAGCCCTGGAACGCGGCCCCATGACAGGACCCTCAGCAGAGCAGCTAAACAGCTCACTGACAAAACTGCAACATCTTCCAGTGCTCCCACCGACCTCACTACCTCTTGCTAAAGTAGCTTATGCTGCCAATAACCATTCCCTATACGGAAGATGAAAAAATATATATATATATGCTGGGCATCCTGATGGCTTTCTGTTTGCAAACCCTCCGTTCCCTGCTCCTCTGTGTGCCATTCTTAGGTGGAAAACCTCTGATATTTCTTTGTCATCAGACACCTAATCCGCTGCACTAAAGAGGTTTATGATCCACTTTTAATACTGAAAAGTTTGCCAGGCATGGGCATTAACCTGTGCATGTCACTAAAGTCTTTCCAGACTTTTTACGAGTATTATTATTATTATGTTATCTAACACCTCATCCAGCCAGGAATCCAGCCATCAAAAGTAAATAGGAGAGAAAGAAAAAGTAAATAGGAGAGAAAGCTTTAGCATGGGTAAATTTTAGAATGCAACAAAAGTTAACAAAATCACATACATTATCTTGAAATGTCCACATTAAAAAAAAAAGTTGAAAGTATTAAGTTTCTTGGCCATGTAGTTCCATTTACAGCATTTTTCAGACTTGATCTTAAACAAATGCTGAAATGCAATATAGAGAGAGAATATTCTATGATCTCATATAAAATTAAAATGCAGCTCTTGCAAAAATTTGATCTCCATACTCCCTAACTTACCATAAAACTGAAAAACTGCTTGAGATGGGAAAACGATGAAAGAACAGAATTTCAGGCTTGCACAACGCATAAGATATTCATGTTCCTGGAGAGGGAGATGGGGCTGACACAAGCCACCAAGGACTCTAATGCTCTAGGGCTGTGGGATACACATGTTCAAGCAAGTCAGTTTTCCTCCTGCAGAGCTACAGGAGAAGCCAAGAATTCATTAAGACCCCATTTATAAAATGGGTTAAGCACCACAGGGCCTTAATTGCCTTTACCTGGCATAGGTAAATATAGAGAAAGAACAGAATTTACCTGGCATAGGCAAATAGAGAAAGAAAGTGTAGCTCACTTAAAATAATTAAGTGGACCAAAGAGGATTTAAAAAAAAAAAAAAGGAAGAAAAAATATATTAAATCTTGAACTAGCACTCTGATCTAAATAGCACACCAGCTACTACAGTAAAATATCATCAAAAGAATACCTAAAGATATGAAAGCAAATGAAGGACACCAGCAAAACTAGTTTATGAAATGTTTACAAAAGTGCTAGACTTAAATGAAAATGAAGAATGCTAAGATTTACTATAATGTGTCTTCTAGCAAGTGCTCATCTACCTGGAGTGCCTGAGGCAAAGCACTTTATATTTCAGCACTTGGGAAATTACTACATCAATTGGAGGAGAGAGAAAAAAAATCAGACTTTTTTTTTTTTTTTTTTTTTTTTTTGGGGGGGGGGGTGATACAGGCCCAATGGGAGATGAGTGAGCAGAATTGACTAAGTGCAGTCTGGAAAAGAAAGATATCAGCCTTACAAATGCAATCCCTCAAAGCAAAACACAGAACAGAAAAATGTCTTATAGATGAGTGTTATGGATGAGAAATGGCAATCTTGATGAGTAGAGCTGAAGCAAAGGCTGAAATTTGAACACGGCAATTCTTTATAAATGTATCAAAGGGGTAAAGAGCAAGAAATGAATGAACATGTCTAATTTGGCCATTAATACATCTAGGCCTAAAATGAGGTATTTGCAGATCTTAACACTAAGAGTGATATTTAAGAACTGCCTTCCAAAAAACTCAAAAGAGCAAAAGAGACTAAAATAATCTTCCCCCTCGCCACCAATTTTTTTTTTCAATTCTTGCACCAAATAAGCAGGAATTTATTTTGCAGAAAGAAGGAATGCCAAAAAATTTATAATTTCAAGTGGTCGTCCTTCTTTCTGTATAACTTAGGAGTTATAAGGCAGGCCTACAAAAAATGATAAATTGAACTCCTCAGTAGTGACAAATATTATGTAAGTTCAGAAGTTTCTTACCCTGTATTGATGGAAATGATTTCTATAAGTGGATTCTTCCTAATTTTTGGCAGGTCCAGTCGTGCTCCTCCCAAACGTTTTCCATTATCCTTTTTCTGACCCAGTAATCTCACAGAATGACCTTCAAATGAAGTAGAAAAAGCAGAGTCAATACTAAACACAAGTCCCATCACATTTGTTTTGCATCTTTTTTCTTCACAAGAAGCATTTACACCTAAGGAGTGAAAATGAGAAGAAGATAATACGTTATTCCTACATTATTTAAGACCCTAACAAATAAGGTAAGTCTTCTTAAAATATACAAATGATTTCATCCAATTGGCTTTTCATATTTGCATTTTCTGGTCTCTTCAATTAAAATGATCAATTAAAGCAGTTTCATTTTCAGATTCTCAAGCAAAGAACAATATGGCAGTATTTAAATGACTCACATGGCAGAAATAAAAGTTTGTGGGTTCTTTGCCCCCTACTTTTTATTCAAGTTTAAATGTGTAGGTAAAGTGCCCTTAAATATTTTTAAACTAATTACATGGAGAACCAGCATATTTGAATCAAACTTACTTGAGCATTTTGTCTGAGTAAAACTGTTGTGGAGCGTATCCCAATAACACGTTCAGGGCTAAACAAGATTTACAGTCAGGATTGGCCTCCCCACTTCAATTCTACCAAGTCCCTTGGCAAGAAAACGTTCTTTATTTGGGGAGTAGAGGGGTTTGTTCATTCAACCCCTAGTCTCTGATTACCTGGGATTTTAATCTGCAAATTCCTTGCTGTCTACAATGACATGCATACTCTCCTCCCAACAACTCTGATCTTTTCCTACCGCAACAGATCCCTCCCGGAGCAGAAAGCTTCTGTTTCTGACAGGACACGGAGAGGCATCTGTTGCCCACTCAGCATACAGACACCCTTGCAGGAGCTGTGTTAAGACTCTGCTAAGCAAAGAGTCCATCTACATCGGTGCCCTTCACTGAAGGCTACTGGCATCAAAGAGGAGGAGTCGGGGAAGAGAGATTGACCCAATCCCAAGTTCTCAGACCTATCCAGATGGTTGCGCTGACCAAGCCAGGAGGGCATTTGTGCAGGTTTCTCCCACATGGAGGAGGCCACAGGTGAGAAGTCAGCTGGCTTTCCTAAAGCCAGTGATAGTAGGAGAATAAATTAGAAATACCACCACCAACTGCCTTCAGCAAGACACAGGCTACACCAGCCCGAGTCTTTGATTTAAAGAGCAGAGAGCAAGTGTATTCACAAGCAAAATGTAACCATGAGAAATGAAAGCAACTAAGCATATATTATTGAAAGAGCTAGAGTAAAACATTCCCAAGTCATTAAAAAGACTGCAGCATTTACAACATAAAGCAAAAGCTAAGGTGGACAGTAGCCACTACTTGGAGTTGAGGAAAGGGAGAAAAAGGAATCATCCCAAAGCTAAAAAGATCTTTGCTAATAATGTTAAGTATTTCCTTAAAATACTTAAGGCAAGAAAAACTACTCCATAAAAGGAAAGGGGAAGGGGGGAGAAGCACAAAGCCACGAATCTACATCTAGCACAACAATTTAGATTTCAAATTTGGAACAAGTAAAATCAATGGGCAACCTAATCTGCTAACCTACACTAACCTAGCAGTGGCTTACAGAACTGATTTATCTATGAAAGTCTTTATTAGGAATGTCTGAGACATTAATTAAAAATAAATTTAACTTATATTCTGAATTCTTTCTCTAATATGGCAACAAGAGCTCAGAGATTTGGTATACCATGTTTCTCAGTTTTATTTATCTTTTTAAAGTACATAAAAATTCTCAATCAAAAATTTCACAGTATGAAGATATAATACTGATCTAATATCATAATTGTTAATACTTGAAAGAGATGTTGTAAATTCAACAATTGAAAAATATATTATTTTTGCATTTGACAAAAGTTTCATTCCATCCTACTACTAATTTAGTAATATGCTGCTTATGATATTAACATTTGCTAAATTATTCATTTCTACCTTTTCAAGACGATAACAGCAGCATCTTTGTCTGATGGTACAACCAGTTATTTTCCAATCTAATGGTTCGTTGAGGAGCCACAGGCATGACACCATTTTATTTTACTTTTATAAAAAAAGTAATTGCATTAGGGCAGGCATAAGAATTCAACTAGGAACAGGGAACATTCCTTTTTGTATTTCCTCATACTGTGGTTTATTTGGAAGAAAACAGTTTCTCCATTTTTTATATATTCAATTGCCTTACCAGACTGAACCATTATTTGAATTATTGGCTGAAAATACACCATTCTTATTTTAGGAGCATTCTTAAAACAATAAGGTTGAAAAATATAACAACAAACCGCCACCTTTTAAATTCACACATTTAGAATTAGGGTCCAAAAAGATTTCTGAAGTGTAAAGCAACAAGTAATATCTCACTGAGTAGAATCAGTGAAGCTTGATCCCCTTTGAATTTGTATCCCTACAGTGAGGAGCTAAGTGAATTACTGTTGTCTAATAAGAATCTAGCCCATGCCTCAGTCATTCCCATCCTATGAACATTGAGAGAGAGACAAATATCTTCATGGAACTGTGGGAAAACAAGTATGCTTTAGACTTCACTATTTGTCTTCATTCTCTTTGAGATTTGCCAAAGGACTAAAAACTAGTCAGGGCAGAGGGGCATGGAGATAATGGCAAACCAGTGCAGTAAGCACAACTTCATAATAATCCATGTTTTCTTACAAAAACAGAAAGAAGAAGCAACAAGAAACACTACAAGAGTTTAGAAAGTATGTCTACAAATCTCCTAGAACTCCTTGCAATGTCTTTGAGATGTTAGGTAGGCTACCAAACCCATGCACTTGCATGTAAAGTATAACTCACCAGGGAGCCTAAGGCATAACCTCTCTTAACTTGAGAGTTTCTTAATTGAGGAAAGAAACCCCATCTCTCTTGTTATCTCCCCCATGAACCACTGTACAGCTCCCAGCTCCATCCTACCTGTCACATCAGCCTCTCTGGCCACCTTCAAAGTGGCATATACCCCTTCCTGAGCTTGCACACACACTGTTGCAAGGTCAAAAAGTCACATTTGGCAGCTTATTTTCGCATGAAATATGCCTAGATTTTTTTTTTTACACATTGCTATTGATTTACACTGAAAGGCAATTTAATACAAAGGTGCCTGGAGAGAAAAAAAAAATAAAAAAAATCTGTGTAGATCAAAAATTACACCCCTGTATTTATGACTCCAAACACCAGAGGATAAAAAAACAGTACTGGGAGATGAGGTCTTAAAGAAATTTAGTGCTTCCAGAATACAAGCATCATTATATATTCAACTATCGTATTCCGCATTACAGGAACAATAAACTTAAAAATACATATTTTTAAAAATTTACTTATAGTATTCTTGACCTTAAGTACTACTACTGCTGCTCAGTACAAGGACTATTTTGTTGCATTTTCAGTAATCACTAAAGCATCTGTTTACAGTATTGCTGCTGTTAATAAAACATAGCTTGATAAACACTGAATCATACTTTTTCACATGCTGTAGATCTTTCTTTCCCCATACTTCTTTCAAGAAAACTTAAAAATAAGTATTTTGTCATGTTCAGTAAGGACTAGGCAAAACAACTTTTTTTCCAGAATTGGTTTAACCAGTATTAACCTCTCACTAACCTGAAGTATACTAAACAAAGCACTAATTTTTTAATCTTATTTATGAGCATTCTGAGCATTCAATGCTCAGAATTAGAATGGGGCAAAACATTCTGCTGGGCTCTCTCTCTAAAGCACTTTACCTGAATGAGTTACATACCCGCTCTGGCTTAGCTGGACAGCTAAAGCCTGTCCACTAGGAGGACAAAACTAGGCGCACTAAATCTAGAAGTAGTTAAAGTCTAGTACAAAAACATTTTTGAAAACTAAGGTAATGCAAGTTCAACTTCCATATTAACAAGTGTTCTACTCAAGCCATCAAATAAAAACTTTTGCTTTTGATGAATCATCATGAATTAGATGACAAGATTCACCAGAGATGGGAGCTCTGTAATAATAGCTTAGGGATACATAGATATTTGAGAGTGTAAACACTTTCTAGTCCTGAAAGTTTCTTCTACAATGAAGATAATCTACTTACATATAGTTTACCAACAGATACAATACTATTAAAAAAAAAAAGTTTAATTAATGGTTCAGGCCACGCTCCAGAGCAGCTATTCACTGATTACTAGATAATTACTGCAGAACAATGCAAGGATAGCACTGATCAGGGGCAGTGAGGAAGCTCATAGAGCAGAACCACTCATAGCAAGTGTATATGGGATCAGGTTAGAAGCAACTCAAAAAGAACCGGAGCTCTGATTTCCAGAACTGTTTAAAATGAATTCCTCCTTTACATACAACTGAGCAGCCACTACTAATATCACTTTGGCACTGTTCTCACAGAGGATGAGGCTGGAATGAACTTAGCAGGATAAGGTCTATTGTTAACCTAAGAGCTTTTACATGGGTCAGTTTGATCAGTATGCAAAATGAAAGTAGTTCCAAGGCATTCCTTTTCTTTTGTTATAAAGGATACAAAAAGCACACAATATTAAGTGGTAAGCACATATACCTTTATTTGTAGACGTACACGCTTCAGGAGCCTGCCAGCGAACATCTAAAACACAGACATGCGGAGGAAACTGGGAGTAGAGCTCTACTACCAATAGAACTGGGAGTAGAAGTGGGAGTAGTAAAATGAAGTTGAAATTTTTAGAGCTAAATAATGCTCTTAGCTTTAAAAAAAAAAAAAAAAAAGAGCTAAAAAAATAAGAGCTAAATGTGCCGTGGATCTCAGATTCACCTAGACCCACGGAAGCTGCACGTGTTAAAGACATTCAAACGCTGACTGGTATTCGGCCAGTTTGACACAAGGATAAGTCAGAGAGAGGAGGAAACTTCGGGAACTTAAATTCAACAGCTCCCTATCTGTATTGCAAATATGTAACACACGCTGATAGAGCTAATGTGTCTTTAAAATACAGCTTAAGAAATACTACTTTGAAGAGGAATCCTCAAAGGTGCAGGAAACCCCGGCCTTGGCAACAGCAGCTTCCACTGTGTCACTGGCTGCTCTCTCGGC